CCTTTTTACTCTTCTGGTGAAGTCTTTTGATGCACATAAGTTTTTTATTTTTAGTATGTCCCAATCATCTATTTTGTCTACTTTTGTTTGTATAGTTTTCAAACTATTTGGTAGTCTGTGTATTCCCTGAAATAGTGCCTCAGATTTGTCCCTATTTTCTCATTGATGGCCTTCATAATTCTTGGATTCACATTTAGGTCTTTAATCCATGCTCAGTTGGTTTTGTATAAGGGTGTGAGGTTAAGGTCTTGTTTCAATCTTTTGCATATCGCTTTCCAGTTCTGCCAGCACCATCTGTTGAAGAGACTGTCACCTCCCCATGCAATATATTTAGGTACTTTGTTGAAAATCTGTATGTGCATGGGTTAATTTCTGGATTCTCAATTCTGTTCCATTGTATCTTTCATTGTACCAGCACCAAGCTGTTTTGACCACTGTTGCCATGTAATAAATTTTGAAGTCGGGGAGTGAGAGGTTTCCAACCTTACTCTTCTTCTTAAGCAGTGAGAGATTTTCAACATTATTCTTCTTCTTTCCTTCCCATATAAAGTTTGTAATTGTTTTTTCCATCTCTTTGAAGAATGGCCTTGGAATCTGGATTGGGATTGCATTATATGTGTACATTGCTTTGGGCAGTATTGACATTTTCACAATGTTAAGTTTTCCTATCCAGAGCATGGTACATTCTTCCATTTTTATAGGTCTGTTTTGGTTTCATATAGTAGTGTTTTGTAGTTTTCTTCGTATAGGTCCTTTGTCTCTCTGGTTACATTTTTCCCAGATATTTCATCTTTTGTGCGGCCACTGCAAATGGTATTGCTTTCCTAATGTCCTTTTCAGCTCTGTCATTGTTGGTATAGAGGAAGCCAACTAATTTTTGTATGTTGAATTTATTTTCTGCCACTTTGCAGAATATAAGCTTAGTAGCTTTTTTAAGGTCTAGTTGCTTTTTTATTGAGTCTTCAGGGTTTTCTTTGTATAGGATCATATCGTCTGCAAATATAGAGAGTTTTACTTCCTCTTTGCCAATTCAGATGCCTTTAGTTTCCCTCTCTTGCCATATAGCTCTTGCTAAGACTTATAGTACAATGTTGAATAGGAGTTGTGACAAAGGGCATCCTTGTCTGGTTCCTGTTCACAGAGGGAAGGCTTTCAGTTTCTCTAGATTGAGAGTAATGTATGCTGTTGGTTTTGTATATATGCTCTTAATTATGTTGAGGAATTTTCCTTCAATTCCTACTTTGTTGAGTGTTTTTATCAGGAATAGATGTTGGATTTTGTCAAATGCCTTTTCAGCATCAATCGATATGATCATGTGGTTCTTTTCTTTTTTCTTATTTATATGGTGAATTACATTGATTGTTTTTCTGATGTTGAACCATCCTTGCATCCCTGATATGAATCCCATTTGATCATTATGTATTATCTTTTTGATGAGCTGCTGGATTCTGTTGGCTAGGATTTTGTTGAGTATTTTTGCATCTATGTTCATGAGTGATATTGGTCTATAATTTTCTTTTTAGTGATGTCTTTCCCTGGTTTTGGTATGAAGGTTATGCTTGCTTCATAAAATGTATTAGGAAGTTTTCCATTCTCCTCTATATTCCAGAATAATTTGAGCAGAATTCGTGACAGCTCTTCCCTGTATGTTTGGGAAAACTTACCAGTGAAGCCATCTGGGCCTGGAATTCTGTTGGTTGGGAGTTTTTTGATGACCTGATCAATTTCTTCTTTTGTTATGGGTCTATTCAGGTTTTCTACTTCACTGTGTGTAAGTTTAGGTAGTTTGTGTTTTTCTAAAAATGTATCCATCTCTTCTAAGTTTTCAAATTTGTTGGAGTATCATAGTATTCTGTTATTATCCTTTTGATTTCCTTTGGTTCCATTGTGACATTACCCATGTTGTTTCTAATGCATTTTATTTGTGTCCTCTCCCTTTTTTTTCTTTTGTTAGGTTTGCCAATGGTCTGTGAATTGTTTTAATCCTTTCAAAGAACCAGCTTCTTGTCCTGTTGATTGTTTCTATAGTATTTGTGTTTTCTATCTCATTTATTTCTGCTCTAATCTTTATTATTTCTTTTCTTTTGGTGGCTGTAGTTTCCCTCTGTTGGTCTGTTTCTAATTGTTGTAGATGCTGTGTTAATGTGTTAATTTTCATTATTTCTTCTTTTTGGATGTGTGCATTTATTGCAATAAATTGCCCTCTCAGCACCACTTTCGCCATGTCCCAAAGATTTTGGTATGTTGTATTTTCATTCTCATTTATTTCTAGGAACTTTGTGAGTTCATGTTTTATTGCTTCTATTACCCAGTCACTTTTCAGCAGGGTGTTATTCAGTTTCCATGTATTTGACTATTTCCTTAGACTTCCTATTGTTGATTTCTAATTTGATAGCATTGTGGTCTGAAAAGATGCTTTGTAGTATTTTGATATTTGTAAATTTATCGAGATTTGTTTTGTGGCCCAAGACATGGTCTATTCTGGAGAGTATTCCATGTACACTGGAAAAGAATGTGTATTGCACTGTTGTTGAGTTGAATGCTCTGTACACATCTATGAGGTCAAGTTGGTTGATTTTGTTGTTTAGTTCCTCTGTGTCTTTGTCAAGTTTTTTCCCCTGGTTGTTCTATCCATTTTTGAAAGCAGTGTATTAAAATCGCCCACTATTATTGTAGATTTGTCTATTTCTTTCTTCAAATCTATTAGAGTTTGCTTTATATATTTTGGAGCTCTTTCATTGGGAGCATAGATATTTATTATGGTTACGTCGTCTTGTTCAATTGTCCCTTTAATCATAAGATAATGTCCATCTTTATCTATTATGCTGTTTTTTCCTTAAAGTTTATTTTATCAGAGATTAGTACTGCCACTCCTGTTCGTTTTTTATTGCAATTAACTTGGTATATTTTTTTTCCATCCTTTGACTTTTAATCTGTTTTTGTTTTTTATTTTTAATAATTTCAATATTTTTTCTTCATAAGAATTTGCAGTGTGACTTGCTCAAATTTAATAATATCAATCACTGTTATAAACCTTCATAAATGTAACATCTTGTCTATCCTACCACTTTTGATGACAACCCAAATGAAAAATTTTCAGTATTGTATATTTGTTGGTGTTGGTGTTGTGGAGTGCAGTTGAGTCAGTTCTGAATCATTAACAACCCTGCATAGGGTTTCTGAGGAGTAGCTGGTAGGTTTGAACTGCTGACCTTGTAGTTACCAGTCCAGTGCTTATCCTACAATGCCACAACCTTTAAAATGTTCACAAATTTCCAAAATGTATTATAATCAAGGTAATGTGATAAACAAATATATATATATATATGGATATGAACTAAAACTATAAGCAGGAGTGGTAACAAGAACTCAAAGACACCTGTAACTCTATCTGTGCCCTAAGGAACTTACAACATGATTTAAAAACAAAGCAAAAGAAGAAAACAGAAACAGGCTTATGAAACAGAAAATGCATATAAGACATATGAGTACTTTTAAATATCTATATTCTCAATTTTAGAATAAGTACTATTTAACATATGTATATCTTTTGTTATAAAAGTACACATTTTTTAATAGTAGTTTTATTTAAGCTTCCAATGCAATGGTTTGTAAACAAGTTACATACAAAGGTTGGAAAGGTCCCAGGAACTGGCCCTGAAATTGTTTATTCCATTATTCAGAGAATGAGAATGAACTCCTGTTTCAGAAAAAAACATATTTCTCTTAGGACAACTATGAGAAAACATTTTGAATAATTTACTGTGTGTTATTTTGTTGTTTTTCTAGCTGACAATAGAAGAATCATAAATGCAATGAATCAGTTATGTTACCATTTTCCATTACATTAAAGCCATTACGTATCTTGCTTCTCCGCGCTCTTCTGAAACGCACCCATGTGCAAATGCACATTCATGCTTGTGGCTTTTAGTGAAAGAGCATTCTCAATACCTTCCAAGTGAGCAAAAGTCTGTTATATTCTTGTCTGGCTCGTTTATGGCTTCATAAGAATTTATTCTTCATATATGAGCTGGTTGAGCCTCTTCAAAATCTGTATAGGAAAATGGACCTTAATTCCTTCATCTCGTGATAGAGTCAAAATGAAAAGAATACACTCACAGAGCCCAACATCTTCACGTCACCACCGACTTCTCATTCAAAAGGGTACTTTGGGTGGCAGGTGGAGTTATAATTATAGATTAGGAAAAAGCAACATCAGCAGCTGTTGCTTCTGTTTGTTCCCAGCTATAACTGTCATCAGGGGGCAAATTGGCATAAACAGTCCTCCACAAGTGGAAAAACATTTAACCCCCATGCTTGCTACACTCTGCGTCTACTCAGTGAACAGAGGACAGAAAGAAAATCTGACTGTGCATGAGGGAAGTGAAACCGAGAGTGCAACACCAGCCCGAAGGCACCTCTTCAGGGGGAGCCTGAAATTTGGAAATTTTCTTTTCCGTCGGAGAGTCCAAACCACATAAGTAGGTTAGTGCACAAAACGTATACCTATGCATTTTAATTCTGATCTCAATGTGATTCTAATTGTTCTGATAGAACTTAAGTAGAAGGATGAACTATTGAATGAACGAAGGGAAAGTTATTTGAAGACTGGTTTTTATTTTAAATACTATTCCCATGAGAACAAATTATGAAATGGAACTAATTTATTATGCTGTTTTTCCAAGATTAGATGTTTTCACAGTAGACAAAAAGACAAGATGAAGTTGGAAAAGTGAAACCGGTTTTTTGGCATGAGTCCCAACATTTCGTAATGCCCTGCCTTATGCCAAATTAAATTAGTAATGTTGAAGACTAAGTTCATGCTTCTAGAAAAACACTGTAAATGTAACTTCAGAGTTGCATTTAGTAAGAAATGGTCAAATCAGAGTTGGATTGTTTTCCCAGCTTTAAGTAAGTACAGAACATTTCTTATTTATGATAAAATGCCCAATGTTTCTTGTGTCTAGTTGAATTTTGCCTAAAAGATCCATGATGTCAGTCTCAGTAACTCTAAAGACTTTCCTTAAAGATCCTTTTAAGAAGACCAAGATTTCAGAAAAGTCTTATTTGAACTGAGCATGCTTCATGTTAAAGAGTAGTTGAGAAGAATTCTCATATACATGTTATCTCTAGTCTATTTATGTCAAAACCTGAGTATTGTATTGTAAATATTGTATTGACCAGTGACATTACAATATCTCTCAGATATCTAATTTATTCATTCAAATATTTTTTAGCAATGATTATAAAATCTACAATTAAAATAAGATATAGTAATTAAGGTAAGCTTAAGATTTCCAATAGCATTCTTTCCAGAGACAGCTCTCCTACTTTTTTCTGTCTCTGTGAAAATAGAATTCCGAGGTAATCACCGGAAACTCACCTTTGGGACCCAGTTTCTCATTCAGCCACATCCTTGGAATTGATCCAAGTAGAAAACCAAAACCAAACCCATTACTGTTCATTCGATTGTGACTCATAGTGAGCCCGGGTGTTGCAGAATACAACTACTCCATAGGATTTTCTTGTCTGTACAAAACTACCAGGCCTTTCTTCTGTGGCTTAGCTGGGTGGGCTTGAATATCAACCTGTAGTTCAGTGCTATCAAGTTGGTTCTGACTCACAGCGACCCTGTATTGGGTTTCCGAGGCTGCAGTAGTCAAGTATAAGCCATTTGAACCACCAGGGACTTTGACCTATGTAGAAAGAATCCTTAAATAATGATCTCATTTTGTTCAGTTCTAAACAGAAAGTGAACCATCCCTAAATATGTTATGTAAGACTTTTCATCAAGAAAGTTCGCCTTTCTTAATATCACTGTGACCCAATCGTTCAGCTACATTTTGAAGTGCACAGAGTACTAACTAAGTGCTCAGAACTCCACTAGAGTGAAACCCACATCCAACTAAAACCAGAAAATGTAGCTCACCAAGTTAAATCTGACAAAGGGTTTGATTCTTTCCAATAATATTTCATGGTTTCAAAAAGGAGAGCCACCACTCCCCTTAAGAAGTATAAGGGTGAAAGACCTCTTTCCAAAACTTTAGCAAACAGAGACCCAAGCAATAATTTTGGCAACTGCTCTTGAAAAATGTTAATTAATATAGCATATCAAACACCATACATTTTCCACATGGATGAAGCAAATAAATGATAGGTGATATCATAATATTTCTCAGAGATTTAATTTATCTATTCAAATATTTTTGAGCAATGAATATGTCATCTAAAATTAAGATTTAGCAATTAAGGCAATTTTACGATTTCTAGTAGTATTCCTTTCTTCTAGAGACAGCTCTTTTCCCTTTTTCTGCTACAAGATTTCCACTGAGATGGCGGCTATCTCTAGTTTCCAGATTCTCTGAAAAACAAAATATGGATGAATGGCTATTGGCTTGAATTTCTTTAGATATACTGATTGATGCTGCATTTTAAACATTGCTCTTTTACTTGTGTTTTGTCTTCTTGATCTTCTAGGAGGAAAAATACAACTATTCAAGATGACTGTCACTTACTCAAGCAAAGTAGCAAATGCGACTTTTTTTGGATTTCATAGGTTACTCCTCAAGTGGAGAGGCAGCATTTACAAACTCCTATACAGGGAATTTATTGCTTTTGCTGTTCTTTACACAGCAATAAGTTTGGTGTACAGGTACTTACCTTTGCATGTCTCCTTATGTGGCCGTCAAATATCATGTAAGAATACAGTCTCAAAAATCTGAGCCCTCTGGTTGCCGCTGATTCTTGCATTATGTAACCTCTTCTTTTGCATGAACCTCTCTGGTGCCGTCTCCTCTTCAGGACAGGGTATTTTAATCCATACCTAACCATTTTTAGGATGTTAAGTAGATTCTAACTGTCATTAGAGGCAGCTCTAATTCCAGCCCCATATTAGTTATTAGGTATTTAATTAGGTATGATTACACCCCAAGAATGTTGCTATAGGCATAAAATGAAAGATTTATCCTTCGATCTTGACTACATGATGATTTTGAATGGCAAAACCCATAGACAAATAATTATTTGTGCCTCTCTGAATGACATTCATTGTTTGAATTTGTGATTGACAGCTTGTAGCAACTACATATCTGATGAACATGTTCATAAATAAGGTGTTAGGTCATGTTCCTCCATTTTGCCTGAAATGACAAACATTTATCCAAGATAGTACCCAATAATCTTACCAATACTTCAACTGAAAAAAGGACTTAGGACTAATTTATATTGTTTATATCTTCCCAATTTAGTACATTGTATCATAAAAGTAGAATCCTATTCTTTATAACATTACAACCTATGCCCGTCACACTGACAGAAAATTTGAGCAGTATCATTTCCAATAAATACTTTTATGACTAGAAATTATTGTCTTGATAAAAATCTTATCAGTATATAAAGAGGATTCTTTATGAGTTTTATTATTAAAATTGTTTGCATACATTTCTTCTCTAAAAGCAGCTAAACTTTAAAATAGGAAAGCTAAAGGTTTTTGAGGCTGTATTTTCACCTTTTCTATATACATCACTGTTACTCTCTTCTGCATACAGATGAACAAATTTGTGTACTTTTGCTTTCATCTGCATTCTTCCTTGTAGCAACAGGATTCCATTTGGAGATGAAGGATATTAATTTAGCTGGCTGATAATTTTCAAGAGTAAAATAGAAAGAGCTATTTTGCTATACATCCAAATTATCTTTCCAAACAAATATATATATTGGTATACATTTTTGCAAGCTATCTTTAAGAGAAAAGAAAGTCTCATTATCCTAGTGTGATATCTTACGTAACGTAATATTATTTGGACATTTATGTATCACCTACGCCTTCAAAATATGAAATGGTGGAAGATACAGTGACGTTCCAGGATAACTTTCTCATTAGTTTATTTTTACTAATGTGAATTTATTGCTGCTACTGCTGCTTAGAATAGCATAGCCCTTAAAACAGTTGCAATGCAGACAGAAATGCTCCATGGGACCTCAACTTTTGCTCCAATATAATATTTATACCTCATAAAATTGTATACACTTATGTTTTCTAAAGACAAATAGTGCTTACATCTACTACAATAATCATTAGGTTAGATCAACCTTCATTTTTTTTTTTTAAGTTCAAGTGTAAAGTTATTAAAATATATCCTTATACCTTTAAAAATGGTACAGAAAAAATATAGGCTGAAGTTGTCAAGAAAGTAAAACATATCTGTAGAAAAGTACATAACTTTATTCTCATGTCTACTAATACTCTTAAGTTATTTGGTGTTTTGTTTTTGTTTTAAATTCTATTATAATTAAATAATTACACTAGATGAAAACCATAGGGTAGAATCAGAATTTCTTCGTTTGGCTATATCCTTCATATTTTTGGATGAATTTAACAAAATAATTTCTGTAATTAATATTGTTAGGCAGCATGGAGTCAGTTCCAACTCATAGTTATCCAATATACAACAAAAGAAAACACTGCCCAGTCTTGCACCATCCTCATAATCCCTGCTATGTCTGAGCTCACTGTTGCAGCCACTGTGTCAGGTCACCTCATTGAAAGTCTTCCTCTTTTTAACCCTATACTTTATTAAGGAGTCCTGGTGTGGCGCTGTGGGTTAATGCGCCAGACTGCAAAGCCGTTTGAACTGCAAGGTCAGTGGTTTAAACTCACCAACTGCTTCCTCGGAAACCCTATACAGGGTCACTATGGTTCGGAATCGACTCAACGGCACTTAACAACAACAACATACTTTATTAAAAGGGCTCTGGTAGTGTAGTGGTTATGAATGGGGATGCTTATCTCACAGTCAGCAGTTCGAAACAACCAGCTATTCTGCGGGAGAGAGATGAAGCTTTCTGCTCCTGTAAAGATTTACAGCCTCGAAAACCCTGTACAGGGTCACTATGAGTCGGAACCGACTCCACGGCACATAACAAGAACAAAATACTTTATTAAGCATGATGCCTTCTCCAGCGACTGGTCCTTCCTAATAACATATCTGAAGTATATAAGGTGAAGTTTTTCCAGCCTCTTTTCTACGGGACATTCTGGCTGTACCTCTTCTAAGACAAATTTGTTCATTCTTATGGCAGTTCATAGTATGGTCAATATTATTTGCCAATACTATAATTCAAAGCATTAATTCTTCTTCAGTCTTCCTTATTCATTGTCCAGTTTTCACATGCATATGAGGGAATTGAAAATGCCATGACTTGAGTCAAATATACCTTATTCCTCAAAGTGACATACTTGCCTTTTAATAGTTTAAAGAGATCTTTTGTAGTGGTTTCACTCAATGTAATATGCCTTTTTGGTTTCTTGACTGCTGCTTTCATGGTGTTGATTGGGCATCTAAGTAAAATAAAATCCTTGAAAACTTCAATCTTTTCCCATTTATTATATTGTAAGAATTTTTGTTCTCTTTATGTTGAGGTGCAACCTATACCAAAGTCTTTAACCTTCATCATTAAGTGCTTCAAATCTTCTTTTCCTTCCGCAAGCAAGGTTGTGTCATCTTGTATAGCAGGTTGTTCATGAGTCTTCCTCAAATCCTGGTGCTGTTTTCTTCTTCATATAGTTCAACTTCTCAGATTATTTGCTCAGCATACAGATTGAATAAGTGAAGGTGAAAGGGTATTTCCTGACTTTAAACTCCCCTTTTTCTGTTTGAACAATTGCCTCTTGGTCAATGTGCAGGTCCACATAAACACAATAAACTCTTCTGGAATTTCTATTTTTCTCTTTTTTATCCATAATTTGTTATGATCTCCCCAGTTGAATGTCATTGCATAGTCAATAAAATAACAGGTAATCATCTTTGTGGTATTCTCTACTTTCAACCAAGTTCCAATGTCCTCTGGATTCTGTATTATATTCTAGCTATTAAAATTTCTATGTGTCTATTATGTAAATATTTTCTTTGGCCAATTATTAATAATAGCAATCATTTCATTATTAATTAATTATATGACTATATGTTACATGGTCTACTTACATTATGTTATGCATTCCTGACAACATCCCTGAGACATAGATATTACTGCAAATGAGAAAAACGAGGTTCTGATTACAGTGAGACCTCTGAAAGCTAGAACTCGACAGGACTGCCTTGGTTTTCTAGGTCTCATACGTTTTCCACCCTTGACAGGAAGTCTTACCACTTTTCTGTTGTTCCTTTTAGTGGGAAATATTTGAGTTTTCCTTGTCTGTCACGTTTCCGCCTTATACAGGTTCTAGCCTTTGCAGGTTTTACTATAATTAAAAAATATGTGTACAGTAAGTGGCAGTCTAGAATTCCAAGGTGGGTTTGCCTGTCTGTTAAGTCCATGCTTTCCACTTTAAATCCTCTTTGACCATTCATTTAAACATCAGAAACAAGTCTGATTATAACTGTCATCAGCATGACCCAGACAGACTCTAATATATAAACAGTTGGTGCCTCTTGTCAGCCTTCCCTAAGTTTAGTAGCGCTGACGCCTCCATCCAAGCTGAGGCAGGTACTCCAAATCCACTCACCCATACCTGTACATCTTCTTTGTCAGTGCTACCTTGCTCCCAACAGCTCTTCATCTGCAGTCTGGATGATAATGATAATATCTCATCTCTCTGCTTCCTGTATCAAAGTCCTACTGACCCAAATGGGCCTTTGATGCTTGTTATAATGGATCTTTCCTAGGGATTTTTTTCCTCCCTTGGAACAGCTGCACTCATTAACTTATGCAAATTCAATTATCCATATGTTGATCGTTGTTTTAAATGATTCAGACATTTTTCCTAACTCTGAATCTCCTTCCTGCAATATAAATATCAATAATAGTCCTATGAAGTGCATTTAAGTTCAACAATACCAGAAAATGAGTTTGGACAGGTTGGGCCAGAGCTATAAATTTTGAGACACCAGCTGAATTTAATCATATAATTTTTTATTTCTAATTGTTAAATCTGTTTTATTTTTACACTTAAAAGAATTATGGGATTTAAAATTAGCTAACAATAACTCTAATCCAGATTTTGCTCCAATCCAACGCATCAACCATACAAGAGTTTAAAAATATAAAATTTTAAGTTTTAAATGGTTTATCAATCCCTCTATTTAATGGCCAATACCTGAATGCACTAAAAGTTTAAGTATATAGATTAAGCAGTTAAAAACATTTTGAGACACATCAGCTCAGGTAAAAAGGAAGAAAAAAAAAGTTATTGCTCATTTTAAAAAAGCAATATTAAGATTATTTGTGCTTAATTGTTTGCACTTATTGTCACTTGCAAAGCAGGTGCAGAAGTATAATATCATAAAGGGCTGTGCATTTTATTTTTGCTCCAGATTGTTACTTACAGGAGCCCAAAAACGTTACTTTGAAAAATTATCAATTTACTGTGACAGATATGCTGAACAAATTCCAGTAACCTTTGTGCTGGGTAAGTATAGGACACACGCAGAATGCAGCCACACAGCTGTCTCCATTAGGATGACACCAATGACTCTGCATGGGAGTGTTTCCAGGCTGAGGGGCATGCCTGAAAAGTCACTGCTTGCAATAGAACCACAGTCATCTGTAAGGTGTGCCTTCAGGGCTGCTGCGCTAAATTAACAGCAAGTGAGTTTGAGGTAATAATCTGCTCTTGGACAATTAAGCTTTCCCTCCACTAACTCATTTTTTGCAGTTAATATATGAGTTCTAATAGTCACTCACCGTGTGTCATGGCATTGCCAGGCACAAATTTTTTTGTTATTGTTCTGGAGGGCAAAAGCCTAAGATATGGATAACATCTTTTTATACCCCAACCCCTCAAAGAGGCTAAAATTGTGCTAAAAGCATCCGTGTCAATGTGGCCGCCATAAGAAATCGGGTTATAATTTCCTGTTATTCTACAGGGTTTTATGTTACTTTGGTAGTGAACCGATGGTGGAACCAGTTTGTGAATCTGCCCTGGCCAGACAGGTTGATGATCCTCATCTCCAGCAGTGTTCACGGCAGTGACGAGTACGGGCGCTTGCTCAGAAGGACGCTTATGCGCTATGTCAATCTTACATCGCTGCTCATCTTCCGTGCAGTGAGCACAGCTGTGTACAAAAGGTTTCCAACAATGGATCACGTGGTTGAAGCAGGTATTGTGAACAGCTTTTTCTTCCAGAGGCTTTTCTTAATCCTTGGAATTCCTTTGAAAATCCCCTTTCTTGATTGATTCATTCAAGAAACATTTATTGATTACTTCTGGCACTGCTGGTTAATGTGCTAGACTGCAAGGTCAGTGATTCAAGCTCATGAGCTGCTCCTTAGAAACCCTATACAGGGTCACTATGGGTCAGAACCGACTTGATGGCACTTAACAACAGCAACAGCTATGTAACAGAGTGGAGTAGCGGTTAAGCAGAGGTCAAACCCACCAAGTGCACTGTGTAAGAAAGACCTGGTGATCTGTTACATAAAGATTGCTGCCTAGGAAACCCAATGGGGCAGTTCTACTGTGTCACATATGGTTGCTATGAGTTGAAAATTGTCGCAAAGGCACCCAGCAACAACTGTGTATGTACCAGAAACAGTTTAAAGAGACCAAGAGGAATAAGATATAGTTCTACCCTAAAAATTTTACTTGAGCAACAAGGGATGGGAAGCAGCCAACATTGCTTTTAGTTCAATCTGTAGTATTATCAGACACTTTTCTAGCACTTGGTAGTTTATTCCCTTCCACAGACATTATTCCATTGTTTTTAAAAGAATTGCTTGTTTTTAACAATACCCTTTGAGATATTTTGTTGGCTTTTATTTCTGCTTGTTTTGTTTTGCTTTCTTAGGTGAGCAGTATAGCCTAGTGATTAAGAGAAGAGAGAAAGGGTTAGAATACTTACTCTACCACGAACTAGCTACATGACCTTGTGCGTGTTATTTAGCTGTTGTGTGCCTCAATTTCCTCATCTCTAAAGTGGACATGGAGTCCTGGTGTGCTGCTGTAAGATAAGCACTGGACTGCTAACCGTAAGGTCAGCAGTTCAAACTGACCAGCCACTCCTCAGAAACCCTATACAGGGGTCTCTATGAGTCAGAATCAAGTTGATAGCACTTAACAACAACAAAGTGGACATGCCAAGTTTATAATAATACCACCTATCTCATAGATGTTGTAAGAATTAAATCAGTTAATCTTTAGAGCAACACCTGGTAGATGGTAAATGCTATGAAAGTTCTTGCCATTATTAAGGAAATACTAGCACAATTGTGTCACTTTAGAAGACTCATTGATGATGAGACATCGTGTCCCATTTGACGAGGAGGTTGTGGGAATTTAGGTAGAAATAAGGAAGGCAGGGTATAGGCGATGTTGTTAAGAGCATAGAGTATAATGTAAAAGATAGTCACTGAGTTTAGGAGTTGCTTAAGGATTTAGGTGTTATTGTTTTTGTTGTTAAGTGCCGTCTAGTCAATTCCATTTCATAGCCACCTTGTATAGGGTTTCTGAGGAACAGCTAGTGAGCTTGAACCACAAATCTTTGTCATTCAAACCAACCTTGTGGTCCATGAGTCCTGGTGTGGCGCTTCCGGTTAGTGTGCTGGAAAGGATTCAGGTAAAGGGTATGAATAATCAGGAAAACTAACAGGTATATTCTGTTAAACCTGTAGGAATTTATTTAACTGCCGCTACCTCCTTCAAATTTAAAAGTTGAATGTTGCTTCAGAATAACTAAGTTGAAAATTTTTTTACTTGGTAACTAAATATCGTAATATCTAAAAGATCAAATACAATAGGAATCACCTCCTCTGTGGGCTACTATTATCTGAAGAAAGACATAGAAACAAATAAGAAAGGTTTGGCCCATTCCAAATCAATGTTTGAGACATAAAGTTAACTTGGATGAATAAACAAGATATTTCTCAAGTCCTGATGTATTCTTGGAATGAAGAGTGTACTCTGACAGAAATCAGATGCCAGGCTCAATCCTCAAAGCAGATCTCATTCTCGGAGCGTCACCTTCGTATTAAAAGCACACCAGGAGAAAGCCATGATGGCGGGCAATGAAGAGGCCTTTGGGCCCTCTGATGAGGTATGAACTGAGAGGGTTGAGTTGAGCTCAGATGTTGGGGGCAAGTAGATGCAGTGAGGTGAAGAAGAGAATGATGGGAAGTGTGTTTAAGTTGAGAGTGAGGTCCCTCCTGGCTGCCCCATGATCAGCCATCTGGGTGCACACCTTCTCTGTGGATGAGCAGGGCTGACCCACTGAGCTTCCTGCTCTTTTCTCCAGTAAATGATTGATCAGAGTCTGCGTCTGGGGTCAGTTTCCAAGCTCTCACAACTGGGCACATGACCACACTGCTTCCTGACTGTCCACGCCTATGCCAGGGCTTCTGGCAAGAACAGGAAGTTCAGGGATGCCGGAAAATGTTTGGCAGATCCCCTGAGCCCAGAGCCAGGCACCTGCTCTGCCTGAGGGCAGAGAGGGTTGTCAGTAAAGTGCAGGGACCCAGAGGAGTATGGGCAGAGAAAGGGAGACGTGCTGAGGACACAAAAAAACTTCCTGACAGTTGACTCCCCTACATAAAATCACCTGGAAGGGAAAGCGTAACTTCTCAACCTTCAGAACCCATTAACCAAACTAAATCTACTTCCATCCAGTTGAGTCCAACTCACAACTACTGCATATGTTACAGAATAGAACTGCTACCATAGGTTTTCCACGGCTATAATATTTAGGAAGCAGATCACCAGGATCTTCTCCTGCTAAGCTAATGTATGGGTTCAAACGGCCAACTCTGAAGTTAGTAGTCAAGCACCCAGTAGATAAATCAATTTTGCTAAAAATGATTCCAGAGATTCAAATTCAGTGGGTCGGGGGCAGAGTCAAGGAGTCCCTCTTGCTCGGGGAGAAGCCTTGTCTACAAAGATTCAGTACTGGATGGGAGACTATAGATGGGAGACTATGGATGGGAGAGGGCAAAGGGAACAAAGACCAACATTTTCTTTGGAAGCATCAAGCTGACCCTTGACTGGATTGGGATGTCCTGCTAGTCCCTAGATCCTCCTTGCTTTTAAGTTGACAGGCAACATTATTCTGGGAAATTAAAAGGTTAAAATTCATGTTATAGGAGAATATATATATGTTTGTTTATTTAAGATGGATATGTGTTGTTTAATGAGCTCTTGTAGAGTTGTTGTTGTTAGTGTGAAGTACCGTCGACTCGGTTCCGACCCATAGCGACCCTGTATAGGGTTTCCGAGAAGCAGCTGGTGAGCTTGAACTGCCGACCTTGCAATTCAAATGGCTTTGCAGTCTGGCTCATTAACCCACAGTGCCACACCAGGACTCTTCTTGTAGAGTGGTAGGTTACAATTAGGACTGCTAACCCCAGGGTCAGCAATTAGAAACTACCAACTGTTCCATGGAAGAAAGATGAGGCTTTCAGCCCCATAAAGATTACAGCCTCAGAAACCCTATTCAGGATCTCTATGAGTCAGAATTGACTCCACAGCACACTACCAACCAACCAATGTGTTGATTATAAAGTATATATGATTATTAGTATATGCTTTGATGATACAGGTCATAGGTCAATCTTCTCGTTGTTTAGTACCTTGAGTCAGTTTCAACTCATCGTCATCCTATGTAGGGTTTCCGAGGAGTGGCTGGTAGATTTGAACAGTCAACCTTGCAGCTCAAATTAACCTTGCAGGCCAGTGTTTATCCTATAGTGCCTCATTTTTTAAAAGGGGGGTATTATTCTCTTCGCATGAAAACAAATATAACAAATCAAAACTCTATCTGGTATGCTAAAATTTTCCTGAACGCATCTGTTATCAAAAAGTTCTTTATGAGAAGCGTCATTAAGATAGTTTCTGTTGTTTAGCCTATTTCTGCAACACTGCCCTGAGAAATTCCAATCTATTCCAATCACCTGCCCCGGAAGAAGCATTTATTCCAAGCCAGGCCAGTTACAAAATGTCAGATTTTCCTCAATTCAGGTGATAATTAATTGAGTATCTTATGGGATCTGACTGAACCAAAGCCATGTTTCTCCAGTGTTTCACAATGACCTGGTAAAGAAAAT